TATTGTTATTTTTGTTTGAATAAGAGAGGAGGAGATAAGGAGGAAGAGATTGGTTGGCGGAGAAGAAGAGCCTTGTCTTTGTTACATGCTGGAGTGCATCATCCTCTTCTATCTTACTTCTTCATCTTCTTCTTACCCTCTCTCTCCTCTCTCAAGTTCATTCATTTCTATTTGCAATGGATGGCATTGTACTTTCTGATCTTTGTATACTTCGCAATTGGCCAGGATCATAACATAAGCCTTTTTAAGGCTTTTTTTGTTAACATGCTATGTGTGATGTTTTAAAGCCTTTAAGGTTTAAACTTTAAATGAATTAAAAAAAAAACAAAAAAGTAAACCTAGCAAAGCGAGGAAATTATTTTTCCTCAGATCTGCTGCACATTTGCATATCACCGTCAGCTTTGACTGTCTATCTTCTCCTACCTTTTCTGGGGTGGGGTTGGGGGGGGGGGAGTGATCGTTGGAGGGGGTTATCGTGGCACTCACTCTGCTCGCCAGAGCAGATGCGTCAAATCTGATCTATCGCTTCTGCTTTGGCATTTGCTGACTGAGCTCTGTGACTCATGGATGATGGATCAATGGACTCGTTTCTGCAGGCTAGACACAGCTATAAGTGTCACAGGATGAATCATCCTCTCCATGACTGGATCCCAAATTTGTCTGAGTTTCATGAATCTAGTGATGGTAAGCGTTTCCTCCTCCCTTCCGCCCCCACCCCTCCCTCCCCCGCCCGCCCGGCCCCAAATCGTTACTCTGGGACTATTGTCAAACGGAATGCCTTCGATGTATTCATAATTCCATACTCTTTATGTGATAATGTGAATGTTCTTTCTTCTTTGGAAGGAGTTCTTTGCCGTTGTTGAGGGTGGTCCTCCGATAGACGACAGACTAGATATTTGAAAGTTTAAAGTTTAAAGTTTAAAGTTTAGAGTTTAAACTGAGCAGGATGGATATTACTAGATATTTTATTGAATTTTAAATTTAGCAGGCTGGATACTACTCCTGATCTCTAGCCGAAAGGCCGCGGAAGGTATGTTACCGTGTTCACCCGAATACAACATACGGTCATTATAGCTGTATTCGGGGCAACTTTGAGTCTAGATACATCGGTAACGACCATACGTTGTATTCGGGTGAGCACAGTAGTGTGAATATAATAGCGGAAAACTGGAATTTCAGGCTCACCATGTTGACTATGTTCCTGGTTGATGGTGAATGAATGCTCATGTGCAGGGTCAGTGCGGCTAGTTGCATAGCCTGTACTTTTTTTTACTACAACTCAAATTTTCAGCATTGTCAGTGCTGAAATGTTTGGGGCACACTATTTCACACTGTGTTATGCTGCTTATGCAGCTAATTTTGGTACTCAGGAGGGAGTTGTGGTCCCATTCACCCACACCGCTGTGTGCTCATAGTCTATGGTCAGTCGTATACAATTTTGGAGCAGGTTTGCGCTAATTGAACGCAGTGGCAGTAGGTAGTAGCAATGTGAGTTCCAGCTTTCTATGGTGTCTTGAGTCATCTGAGCTGTGATCAGATGTGGAAACGGACAAATGCAAAACAAGTTTACGAACGCGTTTTGCTTTCTTGAACGTTTATGTATCTTCTGACTGGCGTGTGTGAAATTGTGCGTGCTGCTACGCTTTTGTCGTTTCGTTTCTCCTTTTGCTCGTCACAGGTACAAGAAAGCTAACGGTGAGATTTGCACTTTGCGCCCACCAGAATGTTCGGGATGCAACTATGGCGGCATTGGGGACACTGAAGAAGCCCCCAAATCCTCCTCCGAAAGAGCTGGTGACAAAACCCATCTGGACAACCTGGGCTAGGTATCATGCCAAGGTATGTATGTATGTTTGCTTCACTGAACCGAGTAGTTTTTCGCTGTCATGGAGAAAAAGGAGTGGAAAACACAGAATGGTCCCTTCGTTCCGCCAACAGTCCATTCATTAGACTCCATTTGGATGATGGTGACCTAATTTTCTGGGGTCTGAGGTTACAGAAACGTTTGAATTAAATCCATAGCATAAAATAGAGGCTTTCACTCTTCATTAAAAAAAAAAAAAAAACATGGTCCGTTGGTGGGCTGAGATCGTGAATCAGGTGCACTTGTCATCATCTGGCATTTGGTTCATGTCTGGCTTTGGGTTTGTCAATAACGCCCTGTGTTGTGTAGTTGGACTGGTTACTAACGGAGTGGGGAGATCCATATTGGGTTGTGTATGACCCGGGGGCCTGAAAGTGCCTGTGCGCTTGTGTGCGCTTGTGTGTGTGTGTGTGTGTGTGTGTGTGTGTGTGTGTGTGTGTGTGTGTGTGTGTGTGTGTGTGTGTGTG